GCCTTCCAAAGTGCTGGCATTACAGGCACCAGCCACCATGCCCAGCCTATATTCACTTTTAAAAGTAATGATCTTTTTCCCTGCCAGTCCTCCAACACCTTTGGAATTACAGTTTAAAAGAAGAGAAACATATTTGCATTTTATCTTGATTTTATGTGTTTTGCTGATAAAATGGATTAATGGGATGAGACCCCGTTCACCAACACCTTTATACCACTTGCCACGTACACGTCTAAATGGGCGATTTTTTATTTTGAAAATTTTCAAACTTATAGAAATGTAGAGAGTACAGTGTAATGAAATAATCATATATCTTTTAACTATATTTAACCAGTGATTTTGCCACCTTTGCTTTATCTAAGCACTTTTCAAAGAAGCAGCATCACCCATTACTGCTTCAGCGTGTATCTCTTAAAACATAAGGATATTCCCCCACATGATCATGATTCAAGTAGAAACTTAATATTGGTACAGAACTATCTAATGTGTAGTCCATATTCAGAATTTTTCAACTTCTCCAAAATAGTCTTTAAAGCTTTTTTATTCTTTTTTGTAAATCCACTATGACATTCGATTGTCAGGTATCCCTAATCTTTAGAACAATCCTCCCAACTTTCTGATGTTTTATGAAATGGTCACTTGAAAAATCAGGCCAGTTAGTTTGTAAAAATCTGTTTGTTTCTCATGAGGCGCAGAATAAACACTTCGGCGGAAGACCACGTAGATGGCATGCTGTGTGTCCCATTCATGTATCACATACTGTTAACTGTCGCCTGCTAATGCCAAATTTATCACTTGGTGTCAGGACTTCTCACTGTAAAAAAAAATCTTTTTACGTAAAGAATATGGGAGAAGTTACTTGGAGACTGTCTGGATATCCTGTTCCCTCAGTGGTTTATCATTCATTGATAACCCCTGCCTAAATCCATTATTGCATCATTGGTGGCTAGAAGTTTGCTAAGTCTACCATTCCATCTACCTTTATTAGCTGACATTCTTCTACAAGAAGTACTTTCTTCCCTCCCTCTACTCACTTTTTTTAAGTATCAATCTGGGCCCATGGATTATTTTTTAGAATCCTAATTATGAAATTGTTCCAAATTTGGCCAGGAGGAACACCTTTAAGCTTGTTTGTGGGTCATTGTGAATCATGGGTCTTGAGTACTTACTTCCTTGCTTTTTGCCATAGCAAGGTGTTCTAGGCTTGTGTATTTTTCCTGCCCCAGACTGGGAATTGCCTGTTTTTCCAAGGGCCCTGGCAGCCCTGGAATTTCACGGGCAGTGGTATTTGGAAATCAAGGTCTGGGTTCTCCTGGGGTATCATTGCTTCTGGGCCCTTTTAGGGAACAAATGCATTTTTAATAGATCATGAGTTCATTCTGATGCTTCCAATTCAAATGTAACACTGATCTTCCTCACCCTTCCCTGTTCTGTATTTGTATCTTCCTTCTGCCTCGGTGAGAATTTGCTTCCAAAGAAGATTAATATTTATTCATTTGCTGGATCCTATAAGACATGTAAAATTATTTCAGAATTATACACCAAAATCAGTACCAACAATAAGTACAAAATTTCTTTGTGATTTTTATTCTTGGAACATGTCATTTGAAGTAATTTCGATCTTATTCTGAACTTCCTAAACCATAATTTACTTTTTAACAATGTGTGACTTTTGGGGGCAAAAAAATACAGTAGGAGTCGGGAGGATCTTTTAGTGGTCTGGAGGTTAGAAATATTAGAACTGTTTGAGATAGTGTGATAAGATTGTCTGCATTTGGTGGTGTTTAACTTATACGAAGGCCTTTAGCTACAAGAGGAGCAAATTATACCATTTGTAATGTGGATGTATGACCCATTTTCCAATTCCTTTATACTAGAAAATAACGTCTTGGACGTTAACATTCTAGGAAGAAATTATTTCATAATGTAGGCCATGTTAGGCTAAAACTCTCAAAGTTATTAATGTATTTCGTTCTATTAAAGAAAAGAACACCAAAGGAAAGATTAGCTTAGGAACACAGGCCCTATCCATTGAAATTCTCTGGTCCCTGTTGTGTTTGAACTCCTGAGGGGCAAGCAGCCTTTGGTGGCTGCTCTTAAAGCTGTGTGGCAGCCTTCTCTCTTACTTACCTCTTCTTCCTGTTGGTGCTAAGTATGAAAAAGAGAAAAATGGTTTGCATGTGGATGTTTTGCAAGAGAAAGCAGGAATCAGGTGGCCTTGGGTACGTGTTATCTGCTCATTCTCATTTTGAGGCCTGGGTGAGCAACAGCAGAACTGTCTGGATACGGTAATTCTGTGGTTATTTTTTAAAATGTGTAAATACTGGTATGTTATTTTCCTAAAACTTGCCAAAAAGTCAGCGTGTGGAGCACTCAAGAAAGGCTTCCTGGAAAGATTCCCATTTACCAATAATGTGCTTGTTAGTAGTTCAGAGCATTTTCATTGTTTTGTCTACGGGAATTCTATGAAATTGTAAAGCTTTTGGTAATTACTCCCATGTGGGTAGCAAGATTCTCAGCCCTACTGCTGTTACTCCAGCCTCCTTATCCGACATCCAACAACAAAATGCCAACAATACTTACGTTCCAAAACTTGTAAGCACATTTGCACGATGGTGTCCTGAGAAGAGCACAGGACCAACACTCAGGACACCAGGGCTCTGATTTTTACAACTTAACTGCTTCCGTGCTAGGAGAGCAAATCACCACACTTCTCTGGGGAAACCTATTCGTGCAATGAGAACAAAACTTGGCAACTGCTTTATTCTATATATGATGTGACCACAAAGCAAATCTGCTTTATTTCAGTAGTTGGGTTAGAGGTCACCAGATAGTTCAGGGCAGAATTTTAAAAGTTCAATCAGTGAATTTGAGCCCTGAGGGATTTTAAGGAAACAATGCCCAAGATAAGAATTTTTAGTATTGGAATGTAGATTAGTGAAAGAGATGAACGTAATTTTAAAGCACGTTTCTGCTATTTTATCTTGTTCAACACATCTTGGTATTTTGGGCAGACACGAGTACACGCTTAAACAGGAGGTAATTCCATGGTGGATTATCACTCCTTTCTTGAAAAGAGCATGTGCGTATTTTATACACAAGGAATGCTGCTATAATGTCCAATTTGATAAAAATCAGTCTACTTGCAAGCCCATTCCACTGCTTGGTTCCCGTAAATTTCCGTGAGAAGAAATCTTGC